TTAATAGGCAATCGTTCGATGGGCTGAATTGCACAAAACGCATGATCGCACCGGCTAGTCTGGTGCCCGCTGCTATTTATTATATATTCGTCCCTTTGTCCCGTTTTAGTCGTATTTTGGAATGCACCTGCTTTCGCAGATGTTGCACTTTTGTTATTTTTGCTTTCCAATCCTTTTTTTTTTAATTCCCTTAAAAACCCTTATTTACATTTTCTCTTTTCACATTTCCCTTTAATTATCATTTTTACATTTTGGTACATTTTCAACCCCTCCAAAAAACTATCACATCCTCTGTTGGGGTGGTTCTTACTCCCTTTATAAACCTCCCTACCATTCTTCGTAGCTCGGTTTCTCCTTCAGCTTCTTCGTCGACTTCAGTCTCCTCGACCGAAATCATCGCCGGCTCGTCAGCTACGACTCCTACCGTCGCAATCTTCGAACACTACTGGGACTCGGATACCTTCGTCTCGAAGCCAGAACTATTCGACCTTGGAACCCCCTTTGCTAAATCCACTGCTGAGCAGGCCATCCCATTCGTCAGTGTCCAAGCGTCACGCTTTGTGTATTATTGCTATTATCTGCGTCGTAGTAAGTATGGCAGAAAACTTATCATTTATCTAATTGGCACCACGTCACACAGCGATTCACACACGTAAACACTCATCCCATAAAAGTTTTTACTTGTATGTATATGTATATATAAGCATACAACGACAAGCAGTCGTCAGTACGCATTTTTCGACTGCATCAATGATGCAAGAAAACAAAGTGAAAAAATGCATGCGCATACATAACATTTTTGTTACTTCATTTCTAGGCAGATTCCTGTGTTCAGCTGCTGCACTTTTGTCTGATTCACCATTTATGTGCACGAACCGCTTCAATTCGGGGACTGTATAACTGCTCTGAAATGTTCTGATGGTGCTACTCTATTCTCTGTCCGGTAAAGAATATTATACCAGAAATTACCAAAATTGTCAGGACTGTCAGTGTAAAGATCCAGTATTACTGGGACTTATCCACAAGTCATGTCCTACTATTGCAGGCAGCTATAGCAAGCAGTTAGTAGTGAATTTTAAAAAGATAAGTGAGTGTCAGTGAATTTATATTCAACGACGTGCAAGGTATGAATGCGTAAAATGAGCGACGTGCTCAATTTTTCCACGTGTTCGGAATGATACCGTGTATGCCGCTCATCTACTTGTCAAATGAGCGAAATGCAAAACATCATTACAATCACGCGACAGAAGTAGGCTTGAGCATGCTGTTCGCCCAACCACAGTCGGCAGACGTCGTGCATCAGTTCGTGATGCCAGCGAGAAACTGAACGATCACTGGGGTGGCCCTCCGAATAAGTGACATTCATACATCGAACAGATGGCGGGTGCTAAACGAAAGTACGCAATTCAGGATCCGAAACGATTAGACCTGGCCACACCTAGTGTGCAAAAGCGCCCCAGTAATATCACTAACACAGAATCCTCACGGAGGGCAGTCCGCGCGGACTATTCCTATTACAAAAATCAATGCTTTCATGTAATTAGGAAAAAATATGGTCTAAACTTGATGCAGAGCTATGCCCCGTACAAAGTTAATAGCATGTAAACATGACAGTAACCACAAGGCAAACTAGAACGAACCACAGAACGGACCACGGTAGCCTTTTGGTGACCAAACACGAAGCCTCTTTTTGCCAAAATCGTCATGGCGATCGCTGTATCTTCTGTCAGATTCATGGAAATCGTAATTACGATAATCGCGGCATGCCTTTCCCCGTGTCGCTAAGCCGAAGGGTGAGTAAGGTGAATACGGCGACTTTGCCGCGCAAGACATGCGATACATCCGTGCCTGAAGATTATTTTGCAGTCAATTTATTGAAAACTCTGAAATTCGCTTTGCGCAACCTCAACGTGAACGCAAAACGACAACATCCCAGAAATATGAAAGACGTGTCTTTTTTTGGAGTTTGCAAAACAGCAGTGGCTTCTACATTCACTTCTGCCGTAACATTTTTGAGAATAGTTCTCGACTGCCTTATCACTGTTAATAAAGGAACAGCACAGTCGTCATGCTGTGTAAAAACAGCATACTCTGAGAAGATACAAGTGAATAAAAGTAAAGTGAAAGAAGCGCACACATAGTGGTAGTAACTGAAAATACAGGAAAAAACCCCAAAAGAAAAAACAAATTTTTGCTAGCAACTATTAAAACTTGGCCCGCTCTCTCAACACGCACTTGTAGGCTGGGAGCGAGCTGCGAAACCCGCAGTTCAGCATAAATGCTGGATCCCTC